GGGGGTGACAGGGTGAGGTGGCAGGGTGAGGGGGGTGACAGGGTGAGGGGGGTGACAGGTGGGGTGCAGGGTGAGGGGGGGTCAAAATGTACCTTTTTCCCTGGTGGTGCAGTGGGGTCAATCTGTCCCTGGTGGTCCAGTGTCCTGGATGGCTCCCTGGTGGTCCAGTGGGCTTTCCGGTCTGCAGCTCCGCCGGATGCAGAGCTGCAGACCACACGGGGATTGTCTCGCGATCTCCATTCAGAGTGTTGCCGTGGTAACCTGCGGCAACGCTCTGATTGGCTGGAGAGCGCGAGACACCTCAGTCTGCAGCTCACACCCACAAAGGGCAAGCCGCCGGGCCCCCTCCTGTGTCGAGTCCTCGGTCATAGACCGAGGACCCGACATGTCAGTCTGCCCTTAGGCAATTTAGGCGGCCACGAGGCCCCTGACTGCGCGAGGCCTTAGGCGGCCGCCTAAATCGCCTAATTAGAGAGCCGCCTCTGGCGGCGACTTTGCATGCGGATGCCATCCATGTCAACTTTAGATGCCAGTTTCTGCGCCTACCATGGTGACCACTGGTAACGGGGAATCAGGATTCCATTCAGTACAGGGACCCTGAGAAACGGCTACCACATGCAAGGAAGGCAGCAGGCGCGCAAATGACCCACTCCCGACGCGGGAAGGTAGTGATGACAAATAATAATACAGGACTCTTTAGAGGCCCTGTAATTGTAATGAGTTCACTTGAAATCCTTTAACTCTGATCAATTGGAGGGAAGTCTGGTGCAGAGCCACTGACCCGTGCATGCTGCAGCTGAAACTCCACTATCGCCTGCTGCTGCTCGCAAAGTCTCATGAGGTGGTGAGCGGGAAGGCCAAAGTTACGCTGCAGCGCAGAGAGGCGAGCAGCAGCAGGGTGACAACGCCAAAAGCACGCACAGCTGCTACAGTGAATGTCACATCCTGACAGTGTTTGGGTCCTGGTCACCGGACTGCCCACCTCACTGTTAAACTACGAATGGATTGTTAATCTGGTACGAACCCGAACTTTGCAGTTCGGGTTCACTCAAGTCTATTATGAATCCTTTGATCGCTACATGTATTACTTGGATAACTGGTAATTCTCGAGATAATACATGCCATGACGAGCACTAGGGGACGGCCGCTCCGCTTTTGCACCCTGCTCCCTCTTATGCTGTGCTGGTGCCTCTGTGTCACAGCGCCTCTTCCTCCAAACTGCACACGTCAGTCGCATGACCTTGATTCCATGTGGGGTCTAGGACCTCATCATCCTCCACATCATCACCCACTCCTCAACCCTGCCCTCCTTGCCGGTATGCACACTGCAGAAAGCCACAGCAGTTGGCACCTGTGTTTTTCCAGCATGTAAAGTCTGCAAAGGACATATGGAAAATGTTTTAGAATTTCCTCCAGGCAACAGTTTTCCCTATAAACTGACCTCTCAGTTTGACTTGTGAGGGTATTCCCCAGAATTACAATATTGTTGAAATACCTCTTAGCTATTGATCACTGGTTTAAATATAGCAGCTTGTTATCTGGTAGTTTCTAGTGTAGAAAATATCAATCTGTTTTCACTTAGATCTGTGTTGTAGGTGTGAAACAATATTACAAGTGACAGATGTAGTAAATTCGAATCAAAGTTACGCTTCAATTTGACTCTCAGATATGAAGTGAACACCCCAAATATACTATTTAGCGCCCAAAAATAAATTGACTTTTTAAAACTCCAATGTTAGCAGCAGATTAGCAGCAAAACAATTAGAATGTTTACAAGTACGCAGTAAGCGCACTATTAGACGCTTCGCTTTGACTCTCAGATATGAAGAACAGGCACCAAAATGTACTATTTAGCAGATTAGCAGCAAAACAATTAAAATGTTTACAAGTGCACTAGTTGACGCTTCTATTTGACTCTCAGATATGAAATGCACCGCAGGCCCCAGAATGTACTATTTAGCAGATTAGCAGCAAAACAATTAGAATGTTTACAAGTGCGCAGAAAGCGCACTATTTGACGCTTCTATTTGACTCTCAGATATGAAGTGCACCGCCGGCCCCAAAATGTACTATTTAGCAGATTAGCAGCAAAACAATTAGAATGTTTACAAGTGCACAGAAAGCACACTATTAGACGCTTCGATTTGGCTCTCAGATATGAAGAACAGGCCCCAAAATTTACTATTTAGCAGATTAGCAGCAAAACAATTAGAATGTTTACATGTGCACAGAAAGCACACTATTAGATGCTTCGATTTGACTCTCAGATTTGAAGAACAGGCCCCAAAATGTACTATTTAGCAGATGGGCAGCAAAACAATTAGAATGTTTACAATTGCGTTATAACCACCGAAAATTCGGCCCAGGCATTTTTTAATTACAGCAGCCCACTAAAAAGGGGACGGGGCCAGATAGGGTGTGTTTTGTCATTACCCATGACAAGCATGCCCCATCACAAAGTGAGCATTTTGGTTCAATGCTCTTCCAGGGTAGAACATGCGCAGAGCTCTGCTGAAGAGCTCTGGCATGAGAAAAAGATCCTGTATTTGTTCTTCACAGTGCAAGCATATTTAATGACATGCTTGCACTGTGTTTGCTTGAAATTTGTCTCTGGTGTCTCCATAGTTGGGATACCAGGAGACAAAAATGCTAGGAAAGCATACTGTGCAGTGTGTGTGAGGGTGCTGTGTGTGTGTGTGTGTGTGTGTGTGGGGTGTAGTGTGTGTGTGTGAGTGATGGGTGCTGTGTTTGCATGAGGGTGCTATGTGCGTGTGAGGAAGCTGTGTGTGAGGGTGCAGTGTGTGCTTGTGAGGAAGCTGTGAGTGTCAGGGGTGCAGTGTGAGGGTGCTGTGAGTGTCAGGGGTGCAGTGTGTGTGTGTGTGTGTGTGTGTGTGTGTGTGTGTGTGTGTGTGCTAGTGAGTGTCAGGGGTGCAGTGTGTGTGTCTGCTGTGCGTATCAGGGGTGCAGTGTGTGTGTGTGAAGGTGATGTGAGTGTTAGGGGTGCAGTGTGTGTGTGTGTGCTGTGCGTATCAGGGGTGCAGTGTGTGTGTGTGTGTGCTGTGCGTATCAGGGGTGCAGTGTGTGTGTGTGTGTGTGTGTGTGTGTGTGTGGGGGTGCTGTGGGGTGTTAGGGGTGTAGTGTGTGTGTGCTGTGAGTGTCAGGGGTGCAGTGTGTGTGTGTGTGTATGAGGGTGCTGTGAGTGTTAGGAGTGCAGTGTGTGTGTACTGTGTCAGGAGTGCAGTGTGTGCTGTGAGTGTCAGGGGTGCAGTGTATGTGTGTGAGGGTGCTGTGAGTGTTAGGGGTGCAGTGTGTATGTGTGTGTGAGGGTGCTGTGAGTGTTAGGGGTGCAGTGTGTGTGTGCTGTGAGTGTCAGGTGTGCAGTGTGTGTGTGTGTGTGTATAGGGGTGCTGTAGAGTGTTGGGGTGCAGTGTGTGTGTGGCTGTGTCTGGGGTGCAGTGTGTGTGTGCTGTGAGTGTCCCAGGGGGTGCAGTGTATGTGTGTGAGGGTGCTGTGAGTGTTGGGGTGCAGTGTGTGTGTGGTGTGTGAGTGTCCGGGGTGCAATGTGTGTGTGTGTGGTGGGGTGCTGTGAGGTGTTGAGGGAGTTACTGGGGTGTGTGTGTGTGTGTGTGTGTGTGTGTGTGTGTGTGTGTGTGCTGTGAGGTGTCCAGGGGGTGCAGTGTGTGTGTGTGTGTGAGGGTGCTGTGAGTGTTAGGGGTGCAGTGTGTGTGTGTGTGTGCTGTGAGTGTCAGGGGTGCAGTGTGTGTGTGAGAGTGAGGGTTCTGTGAGTGTTAGGGGTGCTGTGAGTGTGTGTGAGTGAGGGTGCTGTGAGTGTTAGGGGTGCAGGGTGTGTGTGTGAGTGAGGGTGCTGTGAGTGTTAGGGGTGCAGTGTTTGTGTGTGAGTGAGGGTGTTGTGAGTGTCAGGGGTGCAGTGTGTTTGTGTGAGTGAGGGTGCTCTGAGTGTTAGGGGTGCAGGGTGTCTGTGACCTCAGTGAGTATTTCCCCCCTCCCTGCTTATCTTTAGCCTGGGAGGTGGGATCCTGCAGCTGCTGCTGGCATCCCTGGTGGTCCTAGTGGTGAGTGAACTCGAGCCTGTGGGGCTAGAGTTCACTCTTGCGAGACCCGGAGTGTTGCCATGCTCGGCGGAGCTGTAAGTTAGAGCTCCGCCGGGTTCCTCTCCTAACTGGCTGTCTCCCTCCCTCTCTCCCAGCTGGCGGCTGCAATATACTGTATGTGGGCCGGTGAGGGAGAGCTTTGATCTCCCCACCGGACCGCCGTGGACTACAGCAGGGCTGGCTCTCGGATAATGCCGGCCTAGCAAAGACCCGCAGGAGAGATCCTGTGATCTCCCTGCCATCCTCGGCCCATGGCCACCGCGGCCCACCGGGCACTATCCTGGTGTGCCCGATGGCCAGTCCGGGCCTGCTCTCAGATATGAAGAACAGGCCCCAAAACATAGGGACACACACATTTTTATAGCCACCCTCCAATTTCCTACCTTTTGCTGGATGGTGGCTTCCCTGGGGTCCAGTGGTGCTGGCTAGGTTGGTTGGAAGTAGGGACTGGCTCTCTCCCGGGGATGTGCCGTCACACGCCAGTTACCTATAAGCAAGGCGCCTGGTCGTGCTGTTAAAGGGCCACAGCTCCCGACCGGGCCCCTGCTGAAACATACCCAGTGCATGGGTCCTTAGTGCATGAGTCCACCAGAGTCCACCAGAGTGCATGGGTCCACCAGAGGGTGGGGGTGGGTGGGGGTGCGGGCCCACCAGAGGGTGGGGGTGCGGGCCCAGGTGCAGCCGCACTGCGGGCCCATGGAGTAGCTAAAATATTTTTTTACCGGGCAGTGGGGCCACGGGGCAGCTGCCTCATTTGCCCTGTGTTAAAGATGGCCTTAACTAGTATGCCTCTGAACAACAGTGTACAGCAGGAATGAGGCACCAGGCAGGAATTGTGCAAGGCAATGCCAGTTCAGCATGGTGTTGGTTTGTGCATGGGGCTGATGGCCCAGGACCTCAAAACGTGTTTTGGCCCTTGAATTTTCACTTCTGTGTATCATATATTTATAAGTGTACTCGGTACATTCCACCCAGAGCCCCTAGAGAAAATTAAATCTAAAGTCAACATCTAAAAATTTAACCCAAACACACACATATTGCCATTAGAGACCTAGACAAGAGATAGGGAGAAGCACTTAGGTTGTGTCTTTGCAAATGTCGCTCACACCTTGCACGCTCCTGTGCATGTATTACTTGCATTGCATAAAACAGGAATATTATAGTGACATTATAATCACCAGGAAGTAGAAATTAGTAAATGAAGCAGTATATTGAATGAAGTAAAAAGTTAGTGAAGAGAGATTGAGTGGTAGGACGAAAAGGTGAAATGATGAAGAAAGAAAAAAAGGTGGGGGTGAAAGAGAAAATGACTTTATGTGGGGTAATAGGGTATTCAGAGGTCCCCAAACTGTAGTGAAGTTTTTCAGAATGTTGTATATTGGGTCATTATTTCTCCTAACCCACAATATTTGTTACTTTTGTTTTTCTTATGCTTACCTATTTATTTTGTCTTAGATTCATTTTGGTCCAATCCTCAAATTCAGCTGAGTCTAAAAGAGACGGATGATGGGCATCACGAATGTACTTTCATTGCTGCCCTGATGCAAAAGAATAGGCGCA